GTCTTTTAAAGAGTCTTTAAATTTTGACTAAGTGTGATTTATCAGTCTTTTGTTATGGTTCATACTTTTTGCACTTTATCTAAGAAATTGTTATATACATTATGAAGATCTTTTTCCAGTTTTGTTTAGTAGGTATTGTGGGCTGAATTGTGTCATCCCACCCCTACCCCAGATCTGTAAATTGAACCTCCAGTGCCTCAGAATATGACCTTATTTGGAAGTAGAGTTATTGCAGATGTAATTAGTTACTGGGGTTCTACTCCAGTATGACTGGTGTCTTTATAAGGTGTCCATGTGAAGACAACATGCAGGGAGAAGCCCTGTGATGAAGGTGGAGATTGGAGTGATGCAGCTGCAAGCCAAGGAACGCCAAAGATGGCCAATAATCCCCCAGTCGCTAGGAAAGGCAAAGAAGGATTCCCCTACGGTTTTTGGAAGACTTACCCTGATTTCAGGGTAATGCTAGCCTGCTGATTTTGCACTTCTAAGATCCCTGAATTGTAAGGCAATACATATTTGTTGTTTGTCCTTCTTTGTTATGGCAACCCTGGGAAACTAAATATTAGAAGGCTAATAGTTTTAACTTTTTTTTTTTTTTTTGAGTTGGAGTCTCATTTTGTCGGCCAGACTGGAGTGCAGTGGCCGCTCCTGGCCACCGCAGCCTCGACCTGCTGGGCTCCAGCGATCCTTCCGCCTCAGCCTTCCACGTAGCTAGAACTACAGGCGTGCGCTACCACGCCCGGCTAATTTTTTGATTTATTGTAAAGGTGAGGTCTCACCTGCCCAGGCGGGTCTCGAACCCGCGGGCTCAGGCAATCCACTCACCTCAGCCTCCCAAAGGCGCGGGATTACGGGCTGAGCCACCGAGCCCAGCCAATAGTTTTAACTTTTACATTTAGGTCTGTGATTCATTTTGAGTTAATTTTTATGGGTGGCAAGAGGTAAAGGTCAAAGTTTATTTTTTTCCCTGCAGATATTGTTACATCTGTGTATATTGAAAGGACTCTTTTTTTCCATTGAATTACCTTTATCAAAAATCACATTTGACTACGTGGGTGTTTTATTTCTGGATCCTTTCCTGTGTTATATATTTATCTTTATGCCAACACACTGTTGTGATTATTGTCACTTTACAGTTAAGTCCTGAAATCAGGGTAAGTCTTCCAGCTTTTTATTTTTCTTTACCATTATCTTGACGCTTCTATTCTTTGCCTTTTCATATCAAATTTAGAATTAGCTTTTTAATTTTTACAGAAAGTCTCCTGGCATTTTAATTGGGATTGTGCTAAATGTATAGATGAATTTGGGGTGAATTAACCTAACAGTGAATCCTTTGTCCTGTGTGCAAAGCTATGTTGTTAATTTAGGTCTTCTTTAATTTCTCTCAGCAATGTTTGTTGTTTCATTGTACTAGTATTTTATTAGATTCTCCCTAACTGTTTCATTTTTAAAAATATAAGTATAAATGTTATTTTTTAATGTTATTTTAAAAAAATATTTAATTTCTAGTTGTTTGTTTCTACTACATAGAAATACAACTGATATGTATGTATTTTCCTTGTATTCTGTAACTTTGCCAAAATTACTTATTGGTTCTTAGAGCTTTTTTGTAGGTTCCTTAGGATTTTCTACATATATGGTTGTATCTTCTATAAATTAAGACATCTTTACTCTCTTCTTTCCAATCTCTGTGCCTTTTTCTTTTCTTGCCTTAATTCACTGGCAATGACCTCTAGGGTAGTGTTGAGTAGAAGAGGTTTTTGTGAACTTTCTTATCCTGTTCCTGACCTTAAAAGGAAAGCATTTCATTTTTCACCATTAAGGGTGTTGCAAGCTGTAGGGTTTTCATACATGTTCTTTATCCAGTTGGGGAAGTTCTCTATTCCTATTTTGTTGAGTGTTTTTGTCATGACAGGGTGTTGGATTTTGTCAGATGCTTTTTCTGCATCAATTGATATGGTTATGTGATTTTTCTTCCTTCTATAGCTTGTTGATTTGGTAGATTACATTGATTGATTTTCAAATATTGAATTAGCTTTTCATTCTACAACAAACCCTACTTGGATGTAGTCTGTTATCTTTTGTACCTATTGCTTGATTGAATTTGGTAATTTTTAAAAGGATTTTTGCATCTGTGTTTATGAGAGTTAGTTTTCTATAGTTTCCTTTTCTAGTCATGTCTTTGATTTTGGTATCAGGGTCATGCTGGTCTCAAAAAGTGGGTTGGGAAATGTTCTCCCCTTTTTTATTTCTGAAAGAGTTTGTATCTTTAAATATTTGGTAGAATTCACCAATGAAGCCATCTGGGTCTAGAATTTTCTTTATGGGAGAGTTTTAATTACAGATTAATTATTTTCAATTATAAAATTTTAAATATTTCATTTCTAAAAAGGCTAAGAGATTCTTTCAAAATTTAGATAATTGTCTTTAAGGAACAATGGTTTGCTCATTTTTGTGACTCCAACTTTTATAGTTTTAAACATATACACAGGTATTTTACATTCTGTATCTGAGAACTTAATGTCTGCTGTTCCTGTGGGTCTAAATCTGTTGTTTGATTTTTTTCTGCAGACTCTTATTTATGGTAGCTTGCTTCTTTCTCTATTTGGTCGGAAGAGAGCATATTTGGTTGATCCTAATCTTTGGGAAACCTCAGGCCTATACATAGGATACTTTACTTCTGAGAGGATTGCTTTTGCCAGGACCTAAGTGCTGCTACTGAGTTAGGGTCACATTATTCCCTTCAAGGGTCCCTTACCTATGCTAAAATCTCAGGACAGTTCTCCTTAGGACAACTCGCCCTCGCAGTTCTGGCTTCAGCTTGAGTATGGTATTCTTACCTTTGGCAGTCTCTCCCACTTTCAGGAGTTTCAGAGATACTACAGAAGCAGTATTCTTGGTGGGATCTTGCTATTCTAGGGTGCAGGGGGCACTCAGAGTTGCACAGTCCACATATTCCCAGTCCTAGTTTTTTCTAGATTTTGATTTTTTCTTAACTTCATCAGGAACTAATTTTTGTACATACTAAATTAAATATTGGGGTGCAATTTTACCCAGAACTGTTTTAGTGATTAATCTAGCTCCATTTAAAATTAGTAATTACCAAGCATTTGCAGTGTGCCAGCCATGACATAGCTTTGAATCCTCACGAGAGGACTATGAGGTATGGATTATTGTCATTAACATTTTACTTATGAGGACACTGGCATGTGAAAGCCATGTCTGTTCAGGGTTACACTGTGCTGGTGAGTATCTGTTGGTTCCCCACTAATCGGAAATGGGCTTTTCATTGTGTGCCAGGCTCCTATATAGGCTGGTCTGTTTCTGCAGTTGGTTGTTTTCTTGTGTATTTTTCTTCCTCTCTCTGTTCCAGCCTCTATTTATTTATGTAGCTCTATGGCATGTCTTGATGTCAGTATCCTCCACAGTGGTCTTGGTGAGACCCTCAGTTTTCCATCTGTATGGAAGGCTTCCATCAAGGCTTCCTGTGAGGGGTGGGGGCGTGAGTGCAATAGAGACCTCCATACCAGATATCAACGTGTGAAAAGTATAATAAATCAGGCTCACAAACTATTAATTATAATAGGCACTCCCCTCCTATCTTGATAAACAAATATTTATCAAGACCTTGAAGGTGAAGGTAGACTTGGAGAGTTGGAACTCCTTGGAGTTCTGTACTGGCATATGGTAGTGTTGGAAGGCCCGGCTCCCCTTTCCTTTCCACCCAGGTTTACCCATCCTGCCTGCTTATCCATGCTTGATTTTCCTTGCTGAAGCCACTCCTCAGCCAGTTCTTGAGTCTGGGTGTGCTGGCATGGGAGGATCCTTGTGGGAAGAGGCCTATATGGGTCTTAGAAGTGGGCACTAGGCCCTTTGGCCAGGAACTCTGGAGTTCCAGATACCCACAACGTGGTGATCTAGAAGAGGATGTATGGGCTCTGGGTGGAGTTGTCTTGGTCCTGGGTCTCCTCACTTGGCGAAGGGAACTCCAGATAGTGGTTCTGTTATTTGCCACAGCATTCTCTTGTTGTGTATCTAAAGCCTAGATGATTGGCTGGGGCCTTGCTATCTTCTAGTAGAGGAAGTTTTCTCTCCTAGTGGCTCTTTTTGTTGAATTTGGCCATGAGGACAGGGTATTAGTAAATGTGTACTTATGTTTCAAGTACTTGCCAGTATGAGGAATGGAACTGTTCAGTATCTTCACTGCTGAATGGTCACATGAATGTATACATGTGACACACACACACACACACACACACACACACACACACACACACACACACACACACACACGAGTGCAGGTAAATGCCCTGAAATCTGAATGAACTAATGGATGACATCAAGTCATTTTCCTGACTGTGACACTATCCTGTAGTTATGCAAGATGGTGCCTTTGGAGGGAGCTCAATGAAGAATATGTGAGATTTTTCTGTATTTTTTCCTTATATCTGCATTTGACTCATGTATGAAAGTTAAAAACACAAACTTTCAGTGCGAGGCCTGTCTCCAGGTGACATTAACTCTGAGCCATGGCTTCCTGTAGCTTTGCTTTTTTGGAAGCTCCTGGGTGATTCTGTGTGCAGCTGGTTGGACTCACCATTTAGGGGAAAGTTGGGACCAAGGAAACTGTACAGGCCCTTGCATGCTGAAGGGTTCTTGTGGCATCTGTAACAGTCTTCTTGACCTGGGAGCATTTTCAGTGTGTGTATCTGTGGTCCCTGCCCTCCCTCACAGCTGCTTCATACTCCATTCTTTGTTTTTCCGTCTCTCCCTCTCTCTTTCCCAAACTTTCCTATGTATTTCTCTGATTCAAGCTTCTTTTAGCATAGCTTTGGACTGACCATACTCACGTTGCAGATTCTGACTGGAGATGGCAGCTGGGTATGTGTGTCTTTTGGGGCTGAGCTTAACTAAGCATTAGGAAGAATTAGTTGGTTAAACTGTCTTTATGTTCTTGTATTGCAGGTGTTAATCAAGTTTACGTTATTTTCTAGTTGACTGTTGTCAGCGGTGGAAGCTTGGCAACTGGCCCATCCTCTTCCCATGGAGGACAGAGGCTTAACAGCCTTTGAAGAGGACCGTAGATGCCTGTCCTGGAGCCTCCCCTTGCCAGCGCCAGCAGAAAACCTAGCCGCACAGACCGCTGCTGAGCCCAGCAAGTCATTTTCCTCGGCCCATAGACACCTGAGCAGGAGGAATGGACTTTCCAAACTCTGCCAGAGCCGGATGGCACTCTCTGGTAACAACCTGTGATTATTGTGATCTACTGTTATCAGTGCTACACTTAAAATGTGACTTCACTCTGTTTTCTTATGAACACCCTCTGGTCACTCATTCAAGTCAGTTACTCTGTTCTTGCAGAGAAAAGTTATTTGTATATGTGCTCAGCTCATGCTAGAGGATAACACCACAGGTGTTTCCTGCTGCTTTTGATCTGCTGTGATTTTCAGGCATACCTCTGTCCTTTTCAGGCTGCCCTTGAGACTCACATCCTCATTTCAGGGTCAAATTGCAACAAAATGTTATTTCTTCCTTCAGAGTGTGTGAGAGCTCTATTCTAGGCTAGGTTGTATTACAAGTGAAATACAGTTTTGCTACTTTAGCTCAGTCAATATTTAATGACTATATGGCAGGTACAGGCTTTTTACCTGGACACAGACTAATAGGACAGGGTCCCTCTCCTCAGGGAGGTTTTCACCACTACAAGACAGGCATGTGGGCAGCCAACTTCACATTGCAGGTTGGGGATGCTCCTGAGGCTGGGCTGAGAACTGTGGAGCAGTGATTTCTCCAAGAGTCAGCTGGTGCTTCCCTGAACCCAGACACCATGACCCTGGGTCACAGTGAGGAAGAGAGTGTTGCCTGCCTTTGAAGGGCCCACTGTCTGATAGGGGGAGACTTGTGAAGAAAGCAGTGTGCTTGAAGTTGGGGTCTGGAAAACAAGGAAGTCCTTTAGAATGACAAAGGTGACTGAAGCCATACCAAAGAGCTGTAGGGAAGGGAGGTGGGATCTGGTCTTGAGGCCAAGGAGTAGTTTGACATAGGAGAAGGAGGGCACTGGAGCTCTGGTGTGTCTGAGGGCATGAGACTCCAGTGGTTAGAGTGGCGGGTCCTGTGGAGAGTGCCAGAGATGCTGCAGTGAGAGTGGACTGTGAGGCATGCAGACCTTTCAGGAGTGGGCCCACCTGGGCATTGGCTAGAGACATTCTCAGCAGAGCACTGACAGGATATATTCAGTTTAGGAAGATCATTCTAGTGTCCATGTGGGGAACAGGGGCAGGAGCCAGAGGTGTGGCATCCTGAAGTGTGAGGAAGAGCCTAAGCCACTCTTGGTGACTGCTGCCCAGAAACGAGGGGTGACATAGCAGCCAGATGACCGTGTGGCTTTCAGGTTCAGAGAATGGTTGGGGTGAGGCCATTGACTAAGAAAGTCAGGGGGTCTTGGATGAAGGACGCAGAGGAGAAGATGGGTGAGAAATGGAAGGGTCAGATCTTGTGTGCTTGGTTTAGAGGTACTAGAAGCATGCAGTTGTTATTTACTGAGATGGAGAGAGGGCTAGTGGGCCATTGGGGTCCAGGGGAGAGGTCCAGGTTGGAGATGTGAGTGTGGGAGTTGTCAGCACATTTATATATTAGGTATATTTAAAGCTACTAAGGAATGGGCAAGATGGAGGCAGGGTGAGAGAGTGGGAGTTAGGAGGCCCAGGCGGATAGTGGGAGCTCTGGGCCAAGGACAGGTGGTGTGGGAGGAGAGGACCCCAGGGCTGCTGATGAGCAGAGTAAGGTAAGGACTGAGGAGGGACCATTGGTTTGACTGTCTTGGGAGCCACTGGAGTCATTGCTAAGTAGAGTTTCTGGAGCAGTGGGGAGTGACCCTGTAGGTGAATTTGAAGGCTACCGCAAATAGTTCTTGAATTGTATAATGCTTTCCAGTAGCAAGTGACAGGGCAGAAGTTGGAAGGACTGAGGAGTCTTGGAATGATGGATGCAGGAGAGAGGGTGGGAGGGAAGGGACCTTCGAGTTAATTTAGATGCAGAAGCGTTGATCTTGTACTGTTAGTGCTTCTGAGTGTATGTTGCCCTGTGTTCCTGCTAGGCACCTGATGATTGTCTAAGTGAATTCTAGGGACTATATTCAGATGCACAAATAGAGTTGGATCTTTTTCCAGTAGTTGGGGTCAGGGGCTTTGTGCTTTGCCTGTTTCAGAAGCAAACTCCGGAGAGTTGTGTGAGGTTTAAACCTTTTTTTCCTTTTTTTCCCCAGAAGACAGATGGAGCTCCTACTGTCTGTCATCATTGGCTGCCCAAAATATTTGTACAAGCAAGCTGCACTGCCCTGCTACACCCGAACACATGGACCCAGCTGGATCCCAGGGCAGCATGTCTTGCTGCTCTCTGCTCCGGGGCTTGTCTTCAGGGTGGTCTGCACCCCTGCTCTCAGCCCCTGTGTGCAACCCTAACAAGGCTGTGTTCACTGTGAATGCCAAGACCACAGAGGTATTTGTTGTGGTTTGAGACCCAGCTATAGTTGTGGAGTTGGGGTTTGTGCCTTAAACCTGTAACAGAGGAATTTGTGTACTAGGTACAGATAAAAAAACATTTGATTTTACCTATATATTAACAAAAGAGATAAGAATTTGGAGAATTAAATGCAAACCAATCAAAACTAATTGAATCCTCTTATCAAGATATTCAAGGAAAGGATAACTCATCATTTACTCATGCTTGCTAAAGTGTTGGCTCAGCTAAAACAAGAATGAATATTTGATATTTGAATTAAGTGTATTTGCATAATGTACATTTATGTACAAACAACTGAAATTGTTACACGGAGAGAAGCTTGATGTAAATTTCCATGTTTTCTTCATAGTCTTGGTAATGTTCTGTGCCTCTTGATGAAGGGTTCATGGGTTCAGTCAGCCCTGACCTGGTTCTTGTTTCCATGTGGTAGAGACGCTGAGACCTCCAGGGTGTGTGTGGCATTGTGGCAGGCACTGCTGGGGAAAGACAGGTCTCTGGCCATCCTGGCTGATCTCTGGATCATCTTTCTCCTTGGCTCTGGGCTGTATTTGGGAGTTAAATGAGCTGCTGGTGATATTGTGTCCATGTTCCTCTTTGTGATTCCTTAGATCCTGGTTGCCAATGACAAAGCTTGCAGGCTCCTGGGGTACAGCAGCCATGACCTGATTGGCCAGAAGCTTATGCAGTTCTTTCTTAAGTCAGACTCAGATGTGGTCGAAGCCCTCAGTGAGGAGCATGTGGAGGCTGATGGCCATGCTGCTGTGGTTTTTGGCACAGTGGTGAGTGGGGTATGGGTGGTGTCTTTGGCCTGGCCTACCAGGAGCTCTGCTGGGGATCTGGTGGGTGGTGGAACCTGGCAACTTCAGCTTCTTCAACTGCAAATGTCATCACAGGGGCTACTTCTCTGCCTTCAGCTGCGGTGGGGACAGGGAGCCCTTTAAAAACAAAAGCATCACAGAAACAGATATTGGTGACTGTTGCTGGACTCTTTTCTTTTTTAAGTTGGAGTCTTACTCCATCGCCCAGACCTGCTGGGCTTCAGCGATCCTTCTGCCTCAGCATTCCAAGTAGCCGGAACTACAGGTGCGTGCTACCACGCCCAGCTAATTTTTAATTTATTGTAGAGACGAGGTCTCGCCAAGTTGCTCGGGTGGTCCTCGAACCCGTGGGCTCAGGCAATCCACTTGCCTCGGCTTCCCAAAATGCTGGGATTACAGGCTGAGCCACCGAGCCCGGCCTGTTGCTGGACTCTTAAGGAACATCTTGGGCATCCCTTACTTTGTTTGAGGGATTTAGCTTGGCTAGCGTTTTGCAAACTGGCAGAACACCAACAACATCAGAGTCCCAAAAGAGTAATATAATTTTAATTGACTTTACTAATTTTTATATCAAAATTTATACATTCTATTTGTCTGATGTTTGTTGGGGTGGGCAGAGGGTGTATGTCTGGAAACATTTCCTTGGAGAATTTTGATCCTCTTATCTAGTGTCCATGTGTCCAACCTGGACATTGATAGGTGAACTGAGTTGGTTGTGGAGGACTGAGCCCCAGGCATGGAAGGAACTTAGATAGGATCAATTGCATCAGAAAAATCACTGTTTCAGTCTACTAAGGAAAAAAAATTAAGATATATAACATGTACTAGTGCCTATTTCTTAAGAAATACTGCTTTTTCCCCCCTGCTATATATTTTTTTTGAGTTGGACTCACTCTGTCACCCAGACTGAAGTGCAGTGGCTGCTCCCGGCCACCACAGCCTCAACCTGCTGGGCTTTGGTGATCCTTCCGCCTCAGCCTTCCAAGTAGCTGGAACTATAGGTGCGTGCTACCACACCCGGCTAATTTCTTGATTTATTGTAGAGATGAGGTCTTGCCAAGTTGCCTAGGCAGGTCTTGAACCTGCAGGCTCAGGCAATCCACTCACCTCAGCCTCCCAAGGCATGGGATTACAGGCTGAGCCCCCGAGCCCGGCTCCCCCTGCAATATTACCATGAAGCTGAGGATGGAAAAAAAAATCTACTCTCTTGATAAAACATTCACTCAGATTATAAGGTTCAGTATAAGAAATCTTGTTTGTACTTTGGCAAATTTCTGAAGTGTAAGGCAGGTGAAGAGAGGTTGAAAATGTCGAAGTGCTTGGATTTGAGCTGGTCTGCCCAGTCCATGGAGTGCAGCTATGAGCCTGTCTGTGTCCACAGGTGGATATCGTCAGCCGCAGCGGGGAGAAGATTCCAGTGTCCGTGTGGATGAAGAGGATGCAGCAGGAGCACAGCCTGTGCTGTGTGGTAGTCCTGGAGCCTGTGGAGAGGGTCTCAGCCTCAGTCGCTTTCAATAGCGATGTGAGTGTACGGCTCTGCTTTCTGTAGCTCAGATGCTGGAGCCTGCGTCCTTTGTTTAGCACTTCATATTCTCTTTCAGAAGACGCTGGTCCCTGTCTTATGAAAGAGTGTGTGAGGCTTCTGGAGGGCCTGGCTTGCTGTGCTCCTTACTGATGTGTGTGTGCTCAGCAAGGAACTTAATCCCCCATGCCTCAGTTTCTTCATCTTTAAAATGGGAATATAATCATAACTCCTCATAGGATTGTTTTAACACTTAAAGGAAATAATATATGTAAAACCCTCAGAATAATAGCTGGCATTAGAGATGCACTTGAATGTAAGTTGGGATGTTGTTATTAATGAACCTACAGTGTGGGCCAGGCTTCTGAGGGACACCTCAAGAAAGCCCACAATTGAGGTACATCTGGCAGAAGAATTTCATAAGATGTTCTTATGAAATTCATTTGCGTGTCTCTTGGACTTCTGAGGTAGAATTCATGCTAATGGTCTTATTTTTAGCTTGCAGATACTAAAGCCTAGTGAAATTTATAACTGATGTGTAAAAAGGCTTTATGATAATGCTGTGAGCACTGGGTTTTTCCTCCAGGGCATCATCTTATCGTGTGACAGTCTCTTTGCTCATCTCCACGGGTATGCAACTGGGGAGGACGTGGTTGGGCAACGCATCACAGATCTGATCCCTTCTGTGCAGCTTCCTGCTCCTGGCCAGCGTGTCCCAAAGGTAGGACTCCGACCACCTGCACCATGTATTGGGGTTGAGTTCTTAGATCCAAATCCATAACTGGAGATGCAGGCCAAGGATTCCTGACAGCAGAAGTGTCATGGGTATGGAACATGCTCTGGCTTGAGATCTCTGCTTTGAGTTCTTGACCGAAGGCCAGAGGCTGTGTGGTCTCCTGGCTGACCATTCTTGTTCCCTCAGTCCTTTCCCTGGAGCCTGCTGAGGGGGAGTGTGCCAGAATCTCTCTTTAGGGAGAACTGGCTGATCGTAGGGTTCCCCCTCAAGGAAGGACAGCTGTGTCAGTGGGGAGTGTGAGTAGCTTTGGAGGAAAGTGGAGGTCAGAGGTGTGATCTGAGTCTCTATTAGTCAACTGAATCCTCCCAGGTTCCCCATTTCCCAATTTAGTGTGTGGCCTTCATGCAGATGACCCTCACCACAATGAATTGAACTGATATCACATCCTAGCAACCTGCAGGATGCAACTGGACAGTTGCTCTTAGCTAAAGTCAGCTCTGCTGCTACAAGAAATAGGAGATCTTTTCGGGACATCATAGGAACTCCCATTTTCTGACTGACCTTAGACTGAGAACTTTACCATTTGAACCTGTCCTTTGCTTTATTAGGCTTCCTGTCTCTTTTGAAAGCGCAGTTGCCCCCATGTCCTTGTTCTCTCTGTTTTTTACTCTGTTCTAAAGCAGTAGCTATTTGGGCCCCCAAAGCTGGCAGGAGCATCAACTGGTACCACCACTTTGGGAGGTGGCTTGGTCATAAGCAATTCTCTGACCAATCTGAGACATGTGTCCAAAAGAAATGTGCACCGGAAGACACATATGAGTGTGTTCTCTGCAGCAGTGTTTATAATAACCCATACTGTAGCCACCCAGTGACCCCCAGCAGCAAATGGTCACAGACCCTGTAAGCCAATGGAAGGAGGCCCACAGCCTGCTCATTCCTTAGAGAGCTCCCTGGAACTTAGGTTCATGTGAGGTTCAGTGGAACTGGGTCACAACCTGGGCTTGCCATGGGGAACCTGGGGTCTTGAGTTCTGACTTTGATTGGAGGCAGTGCTTGTGAAATGAGAGCTCCCCTATGTTCAGGATGGGGCAAATGAGCTGCTGCAGGCCGGCATGGGCCCTGCAATTCTCAACTTTTACAGGGTGAACTGTTAAATGAAGGCAGACCCAGAGGCCTGGGTCTAGTTTGTTATCTGGAAAACAGAAAGGAAACAAACTCCTTTAGGTCTTTGGTTAGGAATACTCCTGATATTTAATTGGGAAACCAAATACATTCCAAGTATTTAAAGCAGAAGAAATGTAATTCAGGGACTTGATTGTGTGGGTGATAAAGGAGCTCGGAAGACAAGTGTGGGATGGCCAGGCCACTCAGAGATCAGCAATGGCAGGAAGTCACTGTTCCCCTAGGCCAGAGGGACAGAGGATGGTATGAGGGGCTGGGCCACCTGCAAAGGTGGATGCTGGGGACATTATCCAAGGCTTAAAGGGAAGTGAGAAACATATTCACAGACACAGAGCCAGGGGGTGTGGCCTGAGGAGGCCAGGATCCTGGGGCCAGGACAAGGATAGCACAGATGCCAGCAGTGTGGCTAAGCCCCAAGCCCACAGTCTTCTCTCCCCCACTCACCTCTGCCTGGTCCACTCATTAGGTTCTCGATTTCCCTGGTATTGCTGCTGCTTGAAGCAGTTCTGGACACTGAGTCCTCCTTACCCTCAGAAGGGCCCTGCCTTCCCTGGGGCAAGATAGAGCCCGGGGAGAGCAGGAAGGAAGAGAAGAGTGGGCATGAGACATTCTTGGGACCTTTCCCAATGGTGTGTGGGGTGGAATTCAGATCTGAAGCAGCACAGACTGAATGCTAAATGCACATGACACACTGTTTCAGCTGAATGATGTGTCTTTCTTTCAGAATCTCAAGATCCAGAGGTCTGTTGGAAGAGCCAGGGATGGCACCACCTTTCCTCTGAGTTTAAAACTGAAATCTAAACCCAGCACCGAGGAGGCAGGTGGCTGCAAGGCGGACCCCACCTGGGGCTTCTCAGCTTCTGTCTGGGTGTTTTGCACCATCAGCGGTCTCATCACTCTCCTGCCCGATGGTACCATCTACGGCATCAACCACAGCTTTGCACTGATGCTGTTTGGTTATGGAAAGACAGAACTCCTGGGCAAGGTAGGGCTTGTGCTGGGCTGCTTGGCCCCCCATTCACTCTGAGGTAGCTAGTCTGTGCTCTGCAGTGAGGGCATGCATGTGTCACAGGCCTTTGTGCCCAACAAGCTGTCCAGCTGGCTGGCTTTACCCAGGAGGGACCTCGAGCCTAGTGGGAGGCCCCTGCTTACAGCTGCCAAGCTCATCTCTCTAGACTTCATGCCAGTGACTGTCCTTGGACTATCTAGACTCACCCCAGAGGAGGAAGAGGAGCACTTTCCTTAGAAGCCCTTTGAGATCTGGTCTGATTGGACCAGGGTTTATGTCACAATTGCAGGGATTCGTTTCTCACCTCATAGGCCTGGCCTCAGAGCATGCTGTGTGGTCAGTGTAGGGAGGATGAGGTTTCTGTGACCTCTTCTCTTTGGATTGGGCTCTGGTTAAAATTCTTTAAACATGGAGAGGTTAGATCTCCACAAACCCAGGGCCAGGCCTGTCAGGGGCTCTAACTGCTTTTTCCTCACCCAGAAGAAATACTGAGTAACTCCATTACTATAAACAAAACATTACAAACTGAGTGCTTAAAACAACCCAAATATGTTTTGGTCACAAATTGGCCTTTTGTGTTGTGCTTAGTAGGGACAGCTCACTTTGTTTCATGTGATGTCACTGGGGTGGTCCCAGGCTGGGGGTGGCATACTCTGAATCCTTATTTATTCACGTGTCTGGCTGGCTGGGACAGTGCTGGGCTGGTGGCTAGAGCCCAGGTATGCCACTCAGAGTACCACTTGGCCTCTTCCAGGATGTGACCAGGCTCCGAGAGCGAGTAACTCAGGAAGCTTCGGAATGACCCACCTGGGGAGTCATGTGGCATCACTTCTACAGTTCTATTCTCGTTAAAATGGTCCCAGTGGTTCTGGGCTTACCAAGAGGGGATATGGCCCTTCCACCTCACCACTTAGAAGAATGAGAGGTTGTGGGTGTCCTTTGGAAGCCACCTGATCCCCCTGTTTTTGACATCTGAGCATGTCCACATGTGACTTTTTTGGTTCTCTGATGCAGGTGCAGGCCCCATGGCTCATCCTTGGCTTTTCACTGAGCACCTGCTCACACGGGGTCTGCTTCAAACGAAAGGAGTCCCTGGCCCTTCCTGGCTCAGGGACAGACACTGGGACCTGGTGACAGCTCGTCAAAATTTTCTAGCTTCATTTGAGGCTTCAAAAAGAGTCTCTGCTCTCTATTAGAAACACTAAAAAGTACCTAAGCTATATTATCAAATTTAAGTTAAATGTAAGCTTATTGAAAAGCAGTATAGGCCGGGCATGGCTCAATCCTATGATCTCAGCACTTTGGGAGGCCGAGGTAAGAGGATTGTCTGAGCTCAGGGGTTCGAGACCAGCCTGAGCAACTTGGTGAGACCTTGTCTGGACAATAAATCAAAAAATAAGCCAGGTGTAGTTGCAGCTATGTGGAAGGCTGGGATGAAAGGATCATCTGAACCTAGCTGGTCAAGGCTGCGGTGGCTGTGAGTGTGCCATTGCACTCCAGCCTGGTCGACAGAGTGAGACTCTAACTCACACAACAACAACAAAACAGCATAATTCCTGGATGATGACTTCTCATAGGAGTCGAGGGTATAGAGTCCTTTTAGGGAGTTTTGGGTGCATGGGTAATAGCACTCTCTGTGAGGTGGAACCTGTTCTGAGTTCTCACCTGTTCAGGTGAGGGGGCAACACTCAGGTTCAGAGGAAGTGTCTGTCCAAGCAGCTCCTGGCCTGGGAGGTGCCTGTCGGTCCCTAGTCCTTTTATAATGGGCACATGTCACTGTTCTGGCTGACCTCCAGCTGCCAGTGAGCTGTGTAAGATGCAGCTTACAAACAACAGGCTCACAAGTCTAGGTAGATGTGGGCCAAAGGCCAGATGTCTGCTCATAGCTCAGTGTCACTTGCTTCAGAGTATGTTAATCTGGTTTTTTCATAAGAAAAGAGAAAAAAATCACAACTTACATGTTGAACATCAGAGGGTCTTTAGGCGTGTTAAAGGGCATCTGGCCCGAGGTCTTTCCTAACCTTGAGGGATGAACCATGCAGAGACTTGTTGACATCATTTTCATTTCTCCCTACAGGAGGGACGGTCCAGTGGATCAGTATGGATTCTCCAGGTTCTAAAATGTCTCCACTTTGTTTTCTAGAATATCACTTTCCTGATTCCTGGTTTCTACCGCTACATGGACCTTGCATGTGACAGTTCTCTTCAACTGCCAGACTTGGCCAGCTGCCTAGACATCAGCAATGGGAGTGGGCCTAAGGAGACAGCCTTGGACCCTTGGCAGGGCCAAAAACTGACTGGTGGGCCCCAGGGTAAGACATGTTCTCCTCCCAAGCACATCTGTGGCCCCACACAACCCTGTGCCCCTAAGACAGGGATGAAAGGAGCAGAAGCCATAACTTTCTCCAGAGGCTTAGGGGTGCAGGGGATGGAGTGGTTGAGCAACTGTTTTCTTATTCTTTTTTTTTTTTTTTGAGTTGGGGTCTCACTCTGTCACCCAGACTGGAGTGTAGTGGCCACTCCCGGCTACTGAAGCCTCTCGACCTGCTGGACTCTGGCTCCTGGAACTACAGGCACGCGCTACCACGCCCAGCTAATTTTTGATTTATTGTAGAGATGAGGTCTCGCCAAGTTGCCCAGGCAGGTCTCGAACCCACGGGCTCAGGCAATCTACTCACCTCAGTCTCCCAAAGAGCTGAGATTATACACTGAGCCACTGAGCCCAGCCAAGCAACTGTTTTCTAGTTTGGTAGTTCTCTCTGTCTCTCATGGGCTTTCATGTTTCTAGGGACTATGGCACTGTGTGCTGTTCTTACAAACATGGAGAAGAGGAATAGAAAATCCTTCAAGACTACATCATAGTGTGCCCTTATCTGAGACACAGTTAGCAAATTGACAGCCTTATATTTGCAAAATAAATTTATATAGCCTCATGTATTTTAAGGTCGAATCCATGTAGTATATCTTATTGACCCTTGAACAACACAGGTTTGAACTATGAGAGTCAACTTATACACAGATATTTTTTCAACTTTGAAAATCACAGTATTAGTGGGATATGAAACCTGCATATACAGAGGGCCGACTTTTCACATATGTGAAAAGTCCATTGGGTACACTGCAGGTCTTCAGTATGCTCAGATTTTGGGAAACCTGAGGGTCATTATACCAATCTCCATGTATACTAAGGGATGACTATAATTCCTAAATTAAATATTTCTAGCAGTATTTGTTGGTTTGTTTATATTTAGCCCCCACAGTTTTAATTTAACATTTTAGACTATTTCAACAAATGCTCCTGAATCCCTATTATATGAACAATCTCAGATGTGTGGCATGTGAAGACAGTGTGAGTGCATAGCTTCCTGTCCTGGGGGTTCTGCTCTGGCTGCAAACACTGTGTGTAGGGGAAGTATGGAAACTGCTGACACCCTGGCAAAGCCAGTGCCTCAGCTTCCAGGAGGGAGTACCTGGCTGCCTCTGTGGTGTTCATGCTTCTGTTGAACAGCACAAGGAGGGGGTACATCCTGACTCTGCCCGGTGGTATGGAGAGGGAACCCCTGGCTTCTTGGGGGCTCCTGGCATGCATGACCAAGCTCTGCCTGCCTAGAGTACAGGCATGGTTCTGAAGTCCCTGGGCCATGCTGGGGCCCATAGGTCTGGGTAATGTGATGTAGCAGGGGCATTGAGTGGGGTCCCTGTTATCCTCTGGGAGGAGACAGAGGTCACAAAATGAGAAGACAGCAGAAAGTGAAGCTGTGTCAGGAGTCATGCATTGTGGATAGGTGCCCCCTTCGAGGCTGTCCTGTTTGTAGGGGGCTCAAGGTATTGAATAAACATGTATGTGGATTTAATATCGTCACTGAGAAACAATGTGACATTATGGTATCTGGTAAAGTGAACATTTTGTGTGAGACTGTGTTTCATTTCATGGGCTCAATGTGAGCTTTCTTGAGCATATAGCCATGTCCTGGGCTGGGAAGCCTGCCTTCTTACCTACAGCGTATAGTTTGGGGCATTAGAAACTGGATTGTAATGTTTTGTTTTAAAAAGATGCATTGTTAGACTGTTGAAAATTCTGGCATTTTCAAAACATGTGTTTTCTCTCATCATATCTGGATTCTTTTGTCTGCAAAAACTGTCCTTTATTCAAGTTTTTTTCCTCATCACTGATTACATTCCCTTTTCCCCTTCCCCAAAATTCCAAATTCTTTCCTGTGTGTGTGTGTATGTGTATATACGTGTGTTTACATGTTCTTTGTTGAATATTTGGTGAGGGGGGCTCGGGAGTCTCAAAGTTTCTGTCCTTCTCTCATTGATTCCTTAGGAAAAATTCTTAAAAGTAGAATTTCTGGATTTAAAAAATGAACACTTTTGTAAGTTATTGTCAAGAATGCCCTTTGAGGTGAAGCATGGTGGCTCATGCCTGTATTTCTAGAACTTTGGGAGGCTGAGTTGGGAGGATTACTTGAACCCAAGAGTTTGAGACCAGCCTGGACAACATAGCAAGACCCCATCTCTGAAAAAATAAAAATAAAATAAATTACTCTTTGAGCTGGGCATGGTGGTTCACACCTGTAATCCCAGCTACTCAGGAGGCTGAGGTGGGAGGATTGCTTGAGGCCAGGAGTTCAAAATCAGTTTGAGCATCATAGCAAGACCATGTCTCTAAAAAAATTAAAAATGCCCTTTGGAGAAGTTGTGCTGAGCCCACCCAACTGTCCTTGTTCCATAGCAGGCTTCCCTTAGCCAGGGGCTAGGATTCTTTCCAAGATCCTTCCTATTCCAGACTGTTTCTACTCATTTAACCAAGAAATATGCACTGATAATCTACTATACACTAAGCTGTGTTGTAGACAAACACTTCTGCCCTCATGGAGCCAGATGAGAGACAAGTGGTGTACAAAGTACAGGAAGTGACAAGAACACAAGAGGAAAAGCAAAGCAGGGGAGAGGAATGGTAATCTTAGGACTGAGGGCTCAAGGAGGCCAAGAGAAGCCTTCCAGATAGGCTGGGAACAGCATCCTGGGAGCAGGGACAGCAATCTAGGGCTTTGCATCAGGCACGGCAGGGAGGCTGGGATGGCTGGACAGAGAGGGGCAGATGAAGAGACCTCAGAGAGTCAGGCCACAGTGCCAGGGGGCCATAGTAGGGACTTTGACTTTCACCTGGAGTCAGATGGGAGCCATTGGAGAATTGTCAGCAGATGAGGATGGTGCTCTGACTTGGGTGTTCTCAAGGTTGTGCTGACAAGGGTCCAGGGCCAAGCAGCAGAGACCAGAAGGCAGAGAGAGGGTGCTGACTTGGACCAAGGGTGCCTATGGGTGGCGACAGGTGGTTGATTTTGGCTATGCTGTGAAGGTGGGCTGATAGGGAGTGCTTAAGGTAAAACCAACCCTCACCCCTATGTGTCCCAGGCAAATTAACAAATTCATTTTAGTAAGGTGTGCCCATGAGTAGAAAACACTTTTTTTAAATGTTGCTGCTAGATCTGAGGGTTAATATTGTGCTTGCTGGTGACCACATTCTACCAGGAGATGAGACCCTGAAGCTAGTGGGAAACCAAGAAGTCTTCACTGGGACTCAGAACCAGCCAGGACCAGGAGGCCCGCTCCCTTCCCCCCCCTCATCTCAGCCTACTCCCAGGTAAGTCCCTTGGTGGAAGGTTGCAAGTTAACTAAAAGTCAAAGCAGGTGGTAGGTAGATGAGGAACATTTTGCAGAGAAATGTTCAGCCTATTACTATTAATAATAGTAATAGTTCATATGTACTGAGAACCCACTCTGTCCCATACACAGTAACAGTTGGTTTTTCTGGGCTACCTGGCTGAGTCCTCACCAGCCTCTAAGAGAGGGTGCCTATGATATTATTATCCCATTTTATGGATAAGGAAATGGGTCATTGAGAGTTCAGGAATGTTTAGGTAAATTTCAGAGAACCGATATGAGTATAATTTTATCATTTTGAAAATCATATGAAGCTGTTCTCTTCATACATTTTTAAATAAAGCATTCTACTTAAAGGAAGTTTATATTAGAGAATTTGGAAAATTTTTAAAAAGTAAAAATAAATAAAAATAGAAATAAACTCCTTCTATATTCATAGTCCTACTGTTTTTAATGAGTTTTCTTCTTTTTTAAGAATCTTTCTAATGCATAGCATACAGTAAAGTATCCAAACCTCACATGTTCATGTAACCCCAAGGTTCTTTCTCTGCTTGCCCAGCAGACCCTGGGTCCTTTTTCACTCAGTACCCCGCACTGCTCTGGTCTCAGGGTGAAAGTCAGAGCTGCCTGTCCTTGAACCTCACCTATGCATTTCTTTCTGTCTTCTTTTGCTCATTGTTATCTTTGTGTTTTCTAGTCTTACTGAAATTGCTTAAAAATATGTAATAGATGAATGTGTGTTTTTTGGGTCAAGAAGAATAATGGTAAAAAGTGAAAGTTCTCTTGCCCATCTCCAGTCTCCCTCCTCCAATCCTTCTCTTTCCCCCAGGGGATCACTGTCAGCAGTTAGAGTCTTCCAGGCCTTCTTTCTGTGCATTTATATACTATACATATATGTGTATGTATGCATACACTTGGTCATATATAACTGCTTTTGCTCCTTTAACAGCTGGGATTATACTGTACACATCGTTCTAAATATGTGTGTTTACGTATATATGTCTTGAAGATCTTTCTATACAGCGTTTCCTTAGAACCAAAACCTCTAAGTAGCATCATAGCGTTTGCAGTTGTTTTCTTGCTGATTGATGTCACTATGTTTCCTTTTGTTTGCTTAGACACCCTGACTTTTTCCTGTGTAACTCTGGGGTCCATCTTTGATGGTATGAGAAGTATAGCTGATTGCTCTCCCTGCCATGGCCTCATGTACAGATGAAAAGGGAGAATTCTTGCCCCACAGGGGTGCCACCAAGCTGGAATGGAGTGACCTTTATTGAGTGCCTAGGTTTGATCTGTGGGTGCTCACCAGTGTTAGCGGCTGGTCTCTTGTCAGTGCGCCCCAAGTCTGGGATATCTCAGCGAACTCTGGCCATGCTCTGCCCTGCCAGTTGCTCTCCTCAGGACCTTGGACAGAGTTTATCTTCGGAGACTTGACTGTATGTTGAAAGAGGAAGTTGACTGAGATAAGCTGATTCCTACTCTTTCTATTAGGCTGGACATTTTTTGATGTCACAGTTCTAAGAATTTGATTAGTATCTACTACATGTCTAGTACAGTTAGTTACTGTGAAGATTCATTCATTCATTCACCCACTCAGTCATTCACTCAGTCATTCATTTATTCAACAAATAAACATTGCAAAAGCCTTGAAAGCTCATCCCTAAGAATTATGGTCTAGCCAGGACAATATACTGAAACAGTAAGAAATAATAAATAACAAGGTTGGGAAGTATGAAGGAAGGGAGAGGTATGGAGTGTTTAGTGTTTTGTGTTTGAGGGACTGTTAGGTGCTTCTTCGTAAGTTGTCTCCTTTAATTCTCTCAGTAATCCTGGGATCTCAGTTTTATTATTGTTTTTAGTGAATTGGTGATAAAGCTGAGTGAATTGGTAGATTATGGATAATGTACTAGAAGAGACCCCCAAGTGATGTACTTAGACAGCAGGTGGGAGTCTTGGATTCCCATGGTGGTCTGGCCCCAGTGTCTCCCTGCTGGAGGACCTGCAGGCCCTGAGGCTGCCCTGGGTTTAGCTCCCAGCAGCTCATGGCCTGTGTGAACTCCAGCAGATGAGCAGAGATGGGGAGGTGTCCCCTGCTCTGGAAGGCTCTGCTGGAGCCACACCTCTCCCTCAATTCAGTGATGTGGCAATGCTTGGCTATCAGGGGAGCTGGAGAATATCCTCTTGTCTTCTGGATTGCTGTCATGCTAAAAATCAGAGATCCTTAACCATCACGATCTCTTAACCAAAATTTTGAAATCTCAGAAGCCCCTAACACTGCAAGATTTTTCCTAAATGTGATGCTCAAATACATTTGATGGTCAAACTGGCCCTGAGTGAATGTGAAGCCATTCATGGTTTTCCCTCGATCTCTGTGGATTCATAGGCCTCGTTGCAGAGACAGGACAGTGTATACCTACAGGACCTCTCCCCAACATGCCAGGATCTCCCTAGCAAGTGACTGTGTGACTTTTCTGAAATCCTAAAACACATCTGGCCCAAGGATGGAAAAAAGTGAAAGTTCCCTTGCCCATCTCCAGTCTCCCTCCTCCAATCCTGCTCTTTCCCCCAAGGGATCACTATCAGCAGTTAGAGTCTTCCAGGCCTTCTTTCCTGTGCATTTATATACAGTATTGTGGACATGAGATGTGGAGAGGAGAATGGGTTGCCAGTAGTTGGCCACTTGGAGATCCCAAGAGCACAAGTGAAAGTACAGAGCTACTCTGAGACATCAACTCACATATCCTGAACAACATATCCCAGAGGTTACCCAGACTCCCTGGCAAGGGGCTTAGTCAGACTCTTCTGGTGTGGATGCTCCTCCTGCTTCATCTGCTGGCCCTGTGGAAGGACATACAGTTTCCTGACACTAGCACAAGGCTTGTCTCTTAGTATAGGATGAGTGGACAGGGAGAGGGAGAGAGAGGTGCAGGTGAGGTAGAAATGGAGGTGGATGTAGACATAGACCTTTCTTGCCTGGTCTCTGGACTCTCGCCCCACCCCTTAGTTTCCCCAGAAAACTCCTGTTTTTCTTAAACTCTGCTCACAATACCTTTCTCTGTAGAACCCATCCTGCATCAGATCCTTCCTCTTTGTCCTCTTTATATAAACCTCTGGTATACATTTACTAAGTTGCTGATTTTAATTGTTTTGTGCATCTGTCCCTCCAATAAGTTAGTATGGTCATATTTTGTTCCTTTGATACCCAATGTCAGACACTGGGCTGATCTGCACAGATGCTTAGTATGGTCTGTCGTGTGGATGCTGTGGTGGTTGGGCTGGTGGGAGGCAAGTCTTGGCCTGGGTCCCTCGGCTCTGTGGGTCATTCCATCTGGACTGTGGCAGCAGCCTCCTCACAGGTCACTGTGTGCTCGACAGCAGCTCTCACCAGTCTCCGCTCCTTCTCATCCCCTCATTTTCTACTCATCAACTGCCCTGGCCCTCTCAGAGAGCTGTTTCCCCATTCAGCTGTGAAATCAGATCGTATTCAAAGCCAATCATAGTTTACTGTTGTAGAGTTTATGAAATGTTTTCCAATCCCTCTCTCCTTTCCACGCCTCCTTAAGGCAGCTGTGAGAGTCTTCCCCTTGTGGGTGGAGCTGAGGCTGAGTTGCACAGCAGGTGGGCGGGGCAGGGGGACTTGAGGTCATCTGAGGCCCCCCCTACATGAAGTAAGAGAACTGGCCAAAGCATCAAGAGTGTGCTCCCGTACTTTAGTATTGGGCTTTTGGTAGCATTCTCTGATAAGTCATTGCTAAATGTGGATTTATCTGGGAAATATTTGAGAGTAGGTACTTTATTTTTTGAGTTGGTTACAAAACTTAGTGTTTCTTTTCTGTTATGCATTTGTGTCATTAAATGCTTTGTACTTGTCTCTAATGGAGCATCGATGTGAACTCTGCTTGACTCTTCTGTGGCCCTACATGACTATTGTCCGTATTATTCTTCCCAGGGTGGACAACATCCCAGAAGGTAGCCCACCAGCCTACTGTGAACAATTGTTGCTTGAGGCCCAGCAAAGAGTCCCAAAAGGAAGCCCACCCAACCACAGTGAACAGTCATTGTCCAAGACCCAGCAAATCATCCCAGAAGGAAGCCTGCTAGCTCACGGTGAACAGTCATTGCCTGAGGTCCAGCAAAGCATTCCAAAAGAAAACTTGATAGCCCATGATGAACAGCCTTTACCTGAGGTCCAGCAAAGCATCCCAGAAGAAAGCTCACCAACCCATAGTGAACAGTCATTGCCTGAGGTCCAGCAAAGCATCCCAGAAGGAAGCCTGCCAGCCCACTGTGAACTGTTGTCCCCTGAGGCTCAGCAAAGCGTCCCAGAAGGAAGCCTGACAGCCCATAGTGAACAGTCATTGTCAGAGTCCCAGCAAAGCACTACCTTGAGGAAAAAGGAACCTGCAGCAATAGAGAGCCCTAAGCAGGATCTTTTGGGAGAAAGCAGGTCTGAACCAGTGGGTACAAAACCACTTGCTTCATGTGATGATTCTGAAACTCTAGTCCCAGCTGAAGACAGGAGCAGTGACGTTGAAGTGTGTGGCCTGTGTCATGAGGCACAACTGGGACTGATGGGTTTCAGTACTCCCAGCAATTCACACCCTTGGACTGATGCCACCGTGGCCGAGCCCCATGCCATGGGTCAGCCTGTAGTGGGGGATCTCCCAATGCCCTGCCCTTGTTACAGGAGTGAGTGGGACCTACAGCAGCGAGGCCAGGACTTGGCTTCTAGCCCCTCTGGGATGGCTTGTGTCTCATTTGGGACGCCTACTCTGGATGAGCCATGGCTGGGAGTTAAAAACAACAGAGAAGAATTGCAGACTTGCTTAATTAAAGAGCAGCTGTCTAGGTCAAGCTTTGCGGGAGCCCTGGACATCTCTCATATTGAGCTAGTCCCAGCAGAGCACCCGCCTTTCACAGCCCCTGTTTCATTCTGTGATCTAGGAGGCAGAGACTTGCATGGTGGCCATACAGGGAGCTCCTCAGCCTGCTATGCTTTGGCCACAGACCTCCCCAGCCTGGAAGCAGTGGAGGTTCAAGAGGCTGACATGAATTCGTTTTCCTGGAACCTCAAGGAACTCTTTTTCAGTGACCAAACAGACCGAACGTCATCAAATTGTTCCTGTGCTACGTCTGAACTTGTAGGGACACCGTCTCCCTCAGCAGTGAGCTCCGATCTAGATGTGGGCAATCTCCAGGGACAGGGATCATATGTCCCAGATGACAGGGAGCTGTTACTACTGACTGGCACCTGTGTTGATCTTGGTGAAGACCTACGGTTCCGAGAGAGCTGTCTGGGACATGATCAAACCGAGATATTTTGGGTGTCCTCTGAACATTATGGTGCTAATGACAGAGAAAGCCCAGGCTACATCCCTCCTGTGTTGGATGCTAGTCCCCAGGATGTACACCTGTCAGCAGAGGAGACAAGGCCAAGCGTCCAGGTCACTTCCACACCTGTGGTGCCTGGGGCTGCCAGCCTGCAGCAGGAGATCCAGGAGGGCACTTACTCGGGGAGCTGCTACCACAGGGATGGCTTGAGGCTGAGTATGTCCTGGCCCTGTGGAAGAAGCATGAGGCCCCCAGAGCACAGTGTAGCGGGGGTACAGGGTCTTCCTTGTCCTGGGGTCTGATGGGGTTTCACCCTTCAGTAGTTTTGGCAGAAATTATGTGTTAAAGGATAATGCATTATCATCTACCTCTTAAATGTGTGTACCTAGGAAGCCCAAGGTCTCAGGCCACCTGCCGCATGCCCTTTCTTAGGGAACCACTCCTTGCAGAAGCTGGGGAAGTTTCCACTGGGATCAGGAGGGGCATTGGGGTATGAGGTTAGAGTCTGTTCTTCATACTTCTGTCAACCTCAGTGGTCACACAGCATGAGAGAGATGAGGTGTTTGCTTATCCTTCTTCATGTGCTTTTGGTGTTTAGGCTGCTCTGAGCTCTCTGAAAAGCCTCCCCTTCTGTGAGCCTTTGTGATCAGGCCCCTCCATTTGCTCCTTTAAGGTTGATTCTGTTTGTTTTACTTTCTCTTTTTAATTCCTAATTTCTTAATAGGTCCATGTTTAGTCAGTTATTTCCATATTGCTGATTTTGTAGTGTTGACAGCTAGTGTTTTTTCCTGGATATAAAAAAATAATATAAGTAATACATATTATTTATAGAAATATTAGAAAACTCTTCTTGTTTATACAAGAAAAAAATTTAAAAATCAACTGTAAACTCCCCCACCAAAAAGAAAGATAACTGCATTTGTTTTGGTGTATTCCTAGGAGGCTAGGTAAAAATGCATACACATGTATACAAAAATACAAGTACTTGATATACTCATGTACATAAGTGGGTATAGTTTAAATTTAACATGGCTATTTGTAACTATATTTGTATATATTTCTTATTTAAGCCCTTCACATTCTGGTTACCTGAAGGCAGAGGACCAGCTTTGTATGTAGGTTTTCTGGGCTTTTCTGAGTTGGATGTGGTCTGGTCTTTCCCGGGAGCTTCTCTGGCCTCCTGGCTGCCTGGTGTGGGGAGGTGTTGCTGTTGCAGTCCCACAGGCCTTTTCTCCCTCTTCCTCAAGCTTCATTGCCACCTGCCTCTGCCCAGCTGGTCTTTGTGGTCTTGATAGTGCTTGGGGAACTGGGTTTCTAACCTCAGCTGTGTCTGGCCAGGTTCCCGCAGGACTGTGCATTGTCACATTATTGCCCTTCAGGTATACAGTTTGAGGTGAGGAGAGTGGAGCTCCATGCCTCTGCATCCCTGTTCTGCTGCTGGCTGGTGAAAGACCTCCTCCACAGCCACCGAGACTCAGACACCAGGACACGCCTGCTCCTCGCCAGCCTGCCCAGCTCCACCCACTCCCTGGCTGAGCTCCCCGGATCCGGCCTGGGGGAGGTGGGTATCTGTAGTCAGTTTCTGCCTTGGATTTGCCTTGGATTGTGTGGCGAATGCTCCAGCTGGCATTCCTCTCTCTCTGGAGATGGAAATAGGGTCTGTTTGTAGCTTTTAACACTGTCTCTCCTATCCTGTGTAAATATAAAGCCACTTTAAATGGGATATAAACATGTTTGTGACACATGTACTAGTTTGGATGTGCCGAGGCCTAGGGTGTACCATGGAGAGAGGTTCTCAGGCTGGGACTCACTAGGCATTGGAGGAGTGGGAAGTAGAGTGTAGGGCATGCTTGCTGTAGGTGACTGTGGGAGACAGAGGGGCGCCCTTGGGCTCTGCTGCCTCTGCTGCTTGGTGCAGTCATGCGTGACCCTGCAGCCCTTCCTTTGCATTGCAGATGCTGAGAACCAAGTCCTGGTTTGAGGAGCCACCCAGGGCTGTAGAGCTGGAGGGGCTGGCAGCCTGTGAGGGCGAGTACTGCCACAAGTACAGCACCGTGAGCCCGCTTGGCAGTGGAGCCTTTGGCTTTGTGTGGACCGCGGTGGATAAGGAAAAAAACAAGGAGGTGTGCTGGCTCTTGGAGGGAAGTGGGCTGGGCACCACTTCAAATGGCTCCTGACTTTTGGTCCCAATTCTTTAAACCTGGGGTTTTTACTGGGATAGAAGGAGTTCTGTATGTACTGCAGGGCTCCCCAACCGGTCTGTTGGCCAGTTAGGAACCCGGCTGCATAGTAGGAGGTGAGTGGCGCAAATGAGCTCCACATCCTGTCAAATCAGTGGTAGCCCATCCATTCCATTATTTGATTTACCACTATTGTCTGTGCCTCATTTAAAAAAATAATTATTTCATTATATATTATAGTGTAATAATAATAGAAATAAGTGCACAATAAAGGTTATGTGCTTGAATCATTTCCAAACCACTGCCCACCGCCTGTAGAAAAATTGTCTTCCATGAAACCAGTCCCTGATGCCAAAAGGTTTAGGGACCACTGATGTACAGTACCAAGAACACAGCCTGCCATGTGGGTGGTTCCCTGATGCAAGGAGGGCTGTCCCAGCCATTTGCTCATTGACACCCAGGGTTGACAGTTCTGTCGAGTTTTAGATTCAGACCTTGAACTTGGCCAGGCTCAGGGGTTTGATTTCTGCTCATGTGTTGAGACCCACATCTCGATGTCCACTTGGATGCTGACATCATATGGGCACCACAAACTCACTCTTACAATCCCCATCAAACAAAGAAGTAAGCGAGCTAACCAGCGAACACTCTTGGTCTTCCTGGATTCTTGGATTGACCTCAGAAAGAAACCTCATACGTATCAGCAGTCAGTCCTCATCACCCCTCCACACCACCCCAAATTCCTCCTTCCCAGCCCTTGGCAACCGTTATTCTACTTCTGTCTCAATAGATGTGCCTATTCTGAACATTTTATATAAATGGAATGCAAGATGTGCTCTTTTGGGGCTGGATTCTTCCATATAACATAATATTTTCAAGGTTCATCCGCATTGCAGCATGTATAAGTACTTCATTTTTTTGTATGACCCAATAAAATCCCATTGCATGAATGTATACCATATTTTGTTTATGTGTTCATCAGCTGATGGACATTTGTGTTGTTTCCATTATGTATAATGCTGCTATGAATAATTGTATACAAGATTTTGTGTGGACATATGTTTTCAGTTCTTTTGCGCATATACCTGGGAGCGCAATTTGTAGATCATATGGTAACTGGGTTTAACATTTTGAGGAGCTGCCAAGTTGTTTTCTAAAGGGGCTAAATTGTTTTACATTCCCATCAGCAGCATACAAGGATTCCTATGTCTCCACATCCTTACCAACACTTACTATTATCTTTTTGTTTCTATCCATCTTAGTGGGTGTGAAGGGGTATCCCATTGTGATTATGATTTGCATTTCCCTGGTAACTTATGATGTCAAGCATCTTTTCATGTTCTTGTTGACCACTTGTATATCTTCTTTGGAGAAATGCCAATTCTGATTATTTGCCCTTTTAGAAATTGAGTTATTGGTCTTTTTATTATTAAATTATAAGAGTTCTGTATTCTAGATACAAGTCCTTGATCACATATATGATTTGCAAGTATTTCTCCCATTCAGTGAATTTATACTTTTACTTTCTTGATATATCTTGATATATCTTAAAACACAGACATTTTAAATTTTGATAATATTCAATTTATTCATGTTTTCCATTTGTCACTTGTGCTTTTGGTGTAATATTTAAGAAAGCTCTGCCAAGCCCAAAGTCATAAAGATTTACTCTTATGTTTTCTTCTAAGACTTTTATGTTTTATGGTCTTAGACTTTACATTTAAAACTTCCATCTATTTTGAGGTTAATTTTCATGTATAGTGTTTGGTTGGGGTCTGAATTCATTCACTATTTTGCATATGGATATTTAGTTGTTTTAGTACCACTTTTTGGAAAGACAGCCCCCTCCCCGCCAGCCCCCTTGAATGGTCTTTGGCACCCTTGTCAAAAATCAGTTGGCCACAGATGTATGAGTTTATTTGTGGACTCTCAATTCTATTTCATTGATCTGTATATGTATTCTTAACCCAATACCACATTGTCTTGATTACTGTAGCTTTGTAGTAAGTTATGAAACTGGAAAATGCTAGACTTCCAACTTTGTTCTTCTTTTTCAAGCTTTCTTTGGCTATTTTGAGATTGTTGTGGCTATTTTGCATTTCCATAAGGATTTGGGGATCAGCTTGTCAATTCTTGCAAAAAAACCAGCTAGAATTCTCATAAGAATTGCATTAAATCTGCAGCTCAATTTGGGGAAATATTGTCATCTTAATGATGTCAATTCTGCTGATTCATGAATATGGGAATTTTTTCTATATATTTTGATCTTTCTTTCAACTGTGTTTTGTAATTTCACTGTATAAGTCTTGTCCTTCTTTCATTATTCTGCATTATTTTTACGTCCAGTCTCTTCTCTTTCCTGTGTTTATTTTTTGTTTGCTAATTTTTTCAGGAAAGATGCTTGAATATTATGCTTTCAGTCTTTATGTGCTAAAATGTGTTTATTCTTCCTGTATATTTTAGTGGTGATGTGCTTTTTCCTCTCAGAACTTTTTAGACTTGTATCTGTTATCATCTAGCATTATTTTGAAGTGAATTTTGCTGACAGTAACCTGATTTTTTTTTTTCTTTCTGGATTTAAAAAAATCTTTGTACTTCAAAAAATATTATCAGGATATGTTTAGGTATGTGTGTGTGTGATCTTTATTCTTGCCTGATAATTGGTAATATTTTGACCTGAATATTTAAAGCTTCCTTTACTTTTAGAGAATTCTATTCTTTTTTTTTTGAGTTGGAGTCTCACTCTGTCACCCAGACTGGAGTGCAGTGGCCGCTCCCAGCCACCGCAGCCTTGACCTGCTGGGCTCCGGCGATCCTTCCACCTCAGCCTTCCAAGTAGCTGGAATTACAGACATGCGCTACCACGCCCGGCTGATTTTTTTTTTATTTATTGTAGAGATGAGGTCTCGCTGCCCAGGCGGGTCTCGAACCCATGGGTTTAGGCAATCCACTCACCTCAGCCTCCCAAAGGCGCGGGATTACAGGCTGAGCCACCGAGCCCTGCTGAGAATTCTGTTCTTTTGTTTTATTATTTTTTTCCCTTCTTTCTCTCCTCCTGAATCTCATTTTAGGTGTGCAAGGAAGCTCCTGGAAGCAGCCTTTTCTCTTGTCTATTTGGTCCTGTGGTTGGAAGGGCAGCAGGCATCTCCACTTAAAATGTCTGAAACTGCCTGGGCACGGTGGCTCAAGCCTATAATCCCAGCACTTTGGGAGGCCGAGGTGAGGGGATTGTCTGAGCCCACAGGTTTGAGAACAGCCTGGGCAACTTGGCGAGACCTTATCTTTATAATAAATAAAAAAATTAGTCGGGCGTGGTAGCTTGCGCCTGTAGTTCCAGTTACTTGGAAGGCTGAGGTAGAAGGATCGCCGAGCCGAGCAGGTTGACACTGTGGTGGCCGTGAGTGTGCCACTGCACTCCAGCCTGGGCAACAGAGTGAGACTCCAACTGAAAAAAAAAAAAGTCTGAAACTGAGCTCTTGCCGGCCATATCCATCAGCCCCAGCTAACTCCTCATGTTCTGCCCTATCTCAGCAGATTCTTCTTTGGTTCCTCAGGACCACAGCCTTGCTTTTCCTCTCCTCTTCTCGCTTCTGCTCCCATCTCACCTCTGGCCTGTTGAGTCATGATAACCTTCCCATGAAAGTGTCTTCAGAATATCCCCTGCCCACCACTCACATGCTGGCACCCAAGCTACCCCTCTTTCTCTCCTGATTATTTGAAATGACTGGATATTGCAGAAGCTCTGACTGTTCTTCCTGCTTCTTCCCTGGTCCCTCTGCCCTACCACTGCCCACTTATGCTGCTTGACCTAGCTCCTGCCTCCTTGCTGTGCCTCCACAGCTTGGGAATGCTTCTGTCTGGAATCTGTGCTCCAGCTCTCCTCTACCTAGAGTGCTGTTCCCTGTGGGCTCCCTCCCTGACCTCCAGGGTCCTCTCAGAAGCTACCTTCCCAGGAACCTTTCCTGGCCCATCCACCTAGCATGTGTCCTTCCCCTGTGGCACTTCCCTACCCCATCTTTTTCTTCCTGGCACTCATCATTCCCTGGTGTGGGATGCTTTCAGGTATTTTGTTTGGCATCTCTTGGTTATACATTGGAACAGGCCTGGCCTGTGGTTTGTACCCACTGTATTTCTCCTTCAGCTGCATGCTGACACTCACTCAGCAGCATGCATTGTGTTGAATGATAGGTTAAGTTTTTAGTGACTTATGATCTTTTCTGAATGGTATCTTTCTCTTACACCTTGTAATTGACTTTCATTTACTGTTATAACAGTATTTTTCTTATAGTTATGTCCATCAACCTTGCTAAATTCTCTGATTAATCTCAGAATCAATGTTGAAGTCACATTTTTATTTTTTCTGGTTCTACGGCTTCTGATTTCATTTTATTGGTCAGGACATATAATCCTTGGTTGAGAAATTGGGGTGGTGGGGATTTCTCAAGGGCACCTGCTCTGAGGTCTCCAGAACCTCTCTTTTTCAGCAAAGGTCATGGCTCCTAAGCTCCACCTGGTTCTTCAATTATTCTGGTCTGTCCACTTTCTGGAATGGACAGGAATTACTCAACGTGTCAGGTCAGGTGCTGATATCCTTATGTTTCCTTGTGCTGCGGGAATTATAATTGTTTCTTTTTTCATGTCCCTGGGATTTGAGGGAGGTAAATGTAGAGGGTCTTTCTGCCGCTATGAACTCATAGTGAGCACCTAGTTTAATGTGACACTAGAGGATTTGTTCCAACTATTTCTACTCTTTGTTTTCCTCATAGGTGGTGGTGAAGTTTATTAAGAAGGAGAAGGTTTTAGAAGATTGTTGGATTGAGGATCCCAAACTTGGGAAAGTTACTTTAGAGATAGCAATTCTATCCAAGGTGGAGCATGCCAATATCATCAAGGTAGATGATGATTTCCTGTTTAGTGATACCCTAATTTTTTTTTTTTTTAATTTGTTGACTTGAAGGTATCTTGGCAGAGTTAGACTCAGCTTTTTCTCTTTCCAGGTTTTGGATATATTTGAAAACCAAGGATTCTTTCAGCTAGTGATGGAGAAGCATGGCTCTGGCTTGGACCTCTTTGCTTTCATTGACCGCCATCCTAGGCTGGACGAGCCTCTGGCAAGCTACATCTTCCGACAAGTGAGAGTGGGCCAGAGCTGTACTGAGATGAATAGGGGTTTGGGTGCTTGGGCCTGGTGGCTTCAAAGATCAGTGATATACACTTGATTTTCTCTATGACTGGATCTGGCCTTCAGTCTTGGGATTTTATAGAGTAAGATACATTTTTGAAAAAAAATACTGTGGTTGAAGTAGAAAAATTAAGGTTGGGAAGGAAGGATGAGATCAATTCCCATCCTGGAATGATTGGGAAAGTATGTTTTTTTTGTTTTTTTTTAAGTTGGAGTCTCACTCTGTCACCTGGGCTGGAGTGCAGTGGCACGCTCACGGCCACCCCAGCATCGACCTGCTGGGCTCAGGTGATCCTTCCACCTCAGCCTTCCGAGAAACTGGAATTACAGGTGTATGCTACCATGCCTGGCTAATTTTTTGATTTATTGTAGAGATGAGGTCTCACCTGCCCAGGCGGCTCTCGAACCCACGGGCTCAGGCAATCCACTCACCTCGGTCTCCCAAAGCATGGAATTACAGGCTGAGCCACCGAGCCTGGCTGGGAAAGTATGTTTAATGATTACGTTTTATTAATACATATACCATATCCATACCAATCACAAAAATTAACCAACAAAGCTTAGGATGAAATAGAGAGTGCCTCTAAGACATGCATGCAGCATAGCACAATAGCCTGCATGTTGTAAATGCTCAGTAAGTGGTGGCTGTCCAGCTAATTAATCAGCAAAGGTTGAGATTCTGATAATCCTATTTTATAGTAAGTATTTGTCTTGATTTATTATGTGTTGATCTTTGACTATTTGTTATTTTAATGGAACAGGAGAAAATGATAGCAGAATAGAAGGCATCCTAGAAGAGGGAGGGAGGGAAGAAATAATAACTCTTGCTTTGAGTTTTAGGAGAAGGTGATGGTTCTATTCTATACTGCTCCCAGCTTCCCAGAGAGAGGGGGGAAATACCAGAAAGATGCTATGTGAACAATTCAGATTTGCTCTTTGATTGCTTTTTTGAGATGACTTGATTTCTTTTTTTAAAAATTGTGGGATACAATTCAGGGTTAGGTATACAAATACTCATTGTGCAGGTACCCTTGTTGATGAGGTGTGTCCCCCCTTCCCCAGGCAGTTTCCCAC